GATCTATCAGGATTAATTCAGTATTTTTTTTAAATGTTATGCAGGATAACTTGCCCCTTGCACTTGGACATCAAAATGTGCTTCAGAGGGAAAGAGGTGTTCAGTGTATCGAATTAACACAGCTGCTTTTAGATAGCCTCTCCTAAACACATAAGAACTGTCCACATTCCTGCTTTATATGTTCTTTGATTTTCCCAGAAATAGCATTTTTACATACTGATGTTTAGGGGAGGAAAAGAACTCCTAACAAAATAAATATGTTTAGGATATATTGGATTTTAATTCCAGTTGTGTGAAAAATCCTTGTTCCTTTCTCAAGGTTCTTAATGTACAAAAGTCTACGCGTGCTGAAAATGTGTAAATATTCAAAGGCAAAATATGAAAGTTCCAATTTCTGGGCTGAGATTTCTGGGGGCAAAGTTAATTTTTTCAACCTGTTTCTTAGGGTGGAGGAAATATCACATAATCCATTGCTAAAAGAAAAAAGTTTAATTAGCATTTCGTCTAACAAGTAATATTTTCACATTTAGAACTACTTAAAAAAATATGTTTCTCTTATATTTCCATTTTGGCCCGGAGGAAAACGAATTGTTTTGCATGGGTCTCCCTTTTCCCCTTTTTATTTATTAGTTTTATTTTTTTATCCTTCCTTTTATTTATTTATTATTTATTAATTGATGTGTGCCTCCCATCTCACCAAGAGGCAACTTAGGGCCTCTTAACGAACATTAAGTATAATAAGTATAATTAACACAAGGCTGCTAACATACCTAATAACTCCTTCCTCCACTTTTTCTCATAACAACAACCTTGCGAGGTGGGTTGTGCTGCGAGAATGAGACTTGTTCAAAGTCATCCAGCTATCTTTTATGCCTAAAGCAGTAATCATCCTCTCTTGGCTTCAAGGCCAACAGCACTTGCAGCCATTGCCATCAATAGGGTTTCTGCTCTCTTCCCCCTTCAAAACCCTTTTGGCTGGCCTTTTCCTTTTAAACTTTTCTTTCTTTTACACTCAGCCTTTAACATCAGAGCTCAGTCCCATACATAGCCGCTTAATCATTCTTTAATCATCCTTTTCCCCTTGCATTCTATGTAACATTTTATTTTCTTTGGGGATGTGAAAAAATGATCAGAACTATGACAATTGGGCTGGCAATGTTTACCAATATAGAAAGGTTAAAAAGGCCCAGCTAAGTTCTTTATCCCAGGAGGAGAATCCGTCTTAAAGTGAGAAAGCCAGTAGACTTTATTAACCAGTAATTCTTCTCCCTTTTCCAAATACCTGGTAGTGGTGAATTCAAAGGCTGCTTTTTAACCAAATAAAGTGGAGGAGCTGAAGCCATTACATGTCCTCCATGAATTTCTTAAGTGAATCCGGCTTTAGAAGGTATTGTGGGAACAGCTAATTTATATTTTACATCATTTCTTCCCCTCCCCCGCAAAAAACCCTCAAAAATATCTCAACATACACATTTATTCCATTTGCTCATTTGTCAGCAAAAACAACTACCGCTGATTATAACAATAATTGCCTTTGCAAAATAGTTTCAGCAGATATTAGCATCACAGGAAATTGCCCCTGGAAAGGAAAAGAAAACTTTTATTTTACAAATTAAAGAATTACCTGGAAGCAAGTTCCAAATGGGCACACCTGGGCTTGGAGTGGATTCCCGCTTATACAATTTTGAAAAATATACATTTCCTTGAATCAACCATGGAAACACATCCCCATTATAAATCAGTCATTAAGAGCAACATCATGTATATATCTTCAGGGGTCATAATAACACAATTCAGGTAAAGGTTACAACCTAAAGATTACAAAGTAAGCCCTATATTTATCAATAACCTTCCTCACTAAAAACATTCCTAAGGGACTTGATACCAGGGTCTTGCCCAACACCTTAATGCTTAGGAATTCCTGATCTTGGGGACCATTTTGTTGTATATCTTTATTATTAGAATTGGAGAACGCAGGTAACTGTGGTAGGTGAGCTGCCTTATAGTCCATTCTGGGGTATATGATCAGGTGCATAAGTTTCTTCCAAAGAAGGTTCCTGTTTGTCAAATCAAATGCTGCACTGAGATCTATAAAAGTTGTAAATAGATGACTGGCTCCCTTTAACTGTTTATTTTTCTGTTACATGGCATAAAATGAAGCAGTTATCACTAGTGGAGCAAACTGACCTAAAAGCATTTTGCTTTTAAGGAAACAAGCTCTTTTTCATCATCCATTTCTCAATCTTACATAAAAAAAATACTTTGCATACAGTTTTGCTACAATGTCAATTAGGTTAATTAATTTATAATTTGAAGGATCACCCTAACTTCTCTTTTTGTAAATGGGAACCAAAATAAAGAGGTCCCAACCATTCGGAATTTGGCAGGGATTATTTCTATGGGTAAATAAACTTTCAAGTAAGGGAGCATACCAGTCAATATGACATTTAAATAACTTTGGGTATAGAAGATCTTCTTTGGACTTCTTGTTGAGCGTCAGAGTCTGAATGAGTTTTCTCTTGTTCAGTCATCAAAGAGCATGGTGCAGTGAAGTTACAGGTCTCCTGTTGATCATTTTGTGGGTCTTCTAGTCCATTAGTCCACTTCGTGTGTAAATAATTGGTAGCAATATTCTTCCCATGTGCAGGTAGATATAGGGGTGTCCAAGGATAACCTACATTCCCACAATAGTCCTATAAATGAGTGCCAGAAAAGGATTAGGTGGATTTTTGTTTATCTCTAAATATAATGAGAGGGGACAAGTGATGAGACTTTATGACCTAATAATTTTCTTGTACTGTTATCTGAGAGATAGCATGGCAGCATAATTATTATTTGATAAATAGTTCCATTTGTAAAGTTTGAGGATACCTTTAAAATACATTTGATGGGAAAGTAACAGCATTTAGTGCACTAAGGGAGACCTTAGTTAAGAAATAGAAATGGGTACCACTCTCCAGAATTGAACACAATTGGACAGGGGAAACCTTTACGTTTTACATACATACATAGATACGTACATCACCTTAACTGGAGATACTAATAGCAAAAACATTTAGGCTGGTATTTAATTAATAATTTCATTCTAGATCTTGGGGGGTTGTATTTGTTTTAGTTTATATATCAATATCACAGACCCCAAGATAATTAAAATAGTAAAAGGAGACTTCAGATAGGCTTCCAATTTATAGTCAGGATTTATGTCTGTGTAACTTTAAGGAAGCTGTATTCTAGAATGCTCCTTGTTATTTTTATTTTTTTTAGAAAACTCCATGTTTGAGTTATAGGAAAGGAACATACTGTTTTTAAAATACTATTGCCATATCCCATATACATTGCAGAAGGTAAGTATGGATGTTTAATTATAGAGTTGGTTTCCATGATCTCACTGATATTAGAAGTGCATAAAAAAGCACACCTAAGTTTTGATTGCTATCTGTCTGAAACCCCTCCATCATGTTATACATTTGAAGGAGAAGAAAATATTTGGGAAGCTGTGGTGATATAAGGTACCCACTCTGTGTGTGTGTATGTGTGTTACATTCACTACTAAACCTCATTGCTCTACACATATGTGAACTGTTTAAAGTGCTACTATAATAAAACATTCCTAACAATCTAAATTGATCCTGAATAGTGGCAGAGAGAAGATTGAGTCAAGAACCTGTGGCCTAGTAAACCAAATAGTTTCTTAGCTAAAAGGCATGGTTTTGCATGGTCATATTCAGAGGTGCCCAATATAAGGTTTTTCATGATTTAGACACTACAATGAAGGAACATTTGCTTTGTTTGTATTTTTTTGTTACTCAAATGAGACAAATCTTAAGAGACCATTTAGAACAACATGATCTTGGATATGACCTAGATAAGACAGTTACTGTGATAGGATAGCTGCATTTTTCCTATAGGTTGTTGTCAAGGTTTACTTTCTTATCAACTTGCTGCTGCTTTTAAATCTTCACTAATGAAAATCAATCTGCGTGAACTGTAATATATTTAGCTTGATGCTAAATGCAGTCATTGAAATTTAAGTGTGCTTTAAAATTTAAGAAAAAATTTAGAAGGAAATTGTTAGAATATTTTAGTGTTTATATTATACTTCATCTGCATTTTGAGCACTTTTATTAAAGCTCAGAAATCCTGTCATTTTGTTTTCCTTAAGATTTACTAGCCTTCTTACTTTTCACTGTTCGTAGGCCTTGAAAGTAGCTTATCCAGGAAAGTGAGATAAGGTGTACATTTCAAGGATAGCTTCTCATTAGACAGATTATTCTCAGAAAATTTAGAGGTCCTGGCATGGGAGGAAGATGTTCCTTATATGGAATGATGAGAGGGTAGAATTGGTTAAATGGGTAAAGGGTGGCATTGTAAAGGAGGGGCTAATTGGGTATATAACCTGTGCTGGAAGAAGGGTTCTTTGCAGCTTCACACTTAGCAGCTTGCTGTCATCATCTTTAGGTGAAGAAAAAGGAACTTTATGCAAGTGGCTGTTTTCTTGATCCAGCTCAGAATCTGATTTGGTAAGAAATAAAATATTCCAATAATAGTATAAATATTATAAGGGGAAAAGAACATTATTAACTATTCATAATTCATAAGTAAAACTATCTTTCAATGAAATAAGCCATAGGGAACAGAATACAGTTGGTTAAACTGCTTTTTTTTATATAAACAGCAGCAACTGTTTATATAGGGGACAAATATTTTTATTGTGTAATAAATGTTTTATCTTAATCATCTCCTTGATCCTGATACAGATACTAAAATATCTAAGTCTGTAAGTTCATATCCATTTGTATTGTATTTTTCCAAATTTAACTTTTACATTAAGTCTTGTTGAAGCTTTCATGAAGAGATATCGCAGAAGTATTTTAAAATGTTTTTTTTTCATGTATAAAACTCTTTGTTGCTCTAAAATGTAGTAATTATAAATTATTTTTAAAGTAGTAAAATTTTAAATATATCTGAATACAACAGTTTCTATATTTTTAGAATGAAATATGGCGAAAGCTTTGAAAAAGTCATTTAAGGATAGTTTGGAAGATATAAAAGAACGAATGAAAGAAAAGAGAAATAAAAAATGGGCAAGACTGGGTAAAGCAAACCAAGTTTTACCTATTAAGAGTAAAATTGCAGGTAAGTATTTTAATACTTTCTTTTCTCTCTCCCCCACCACTCCAAAAATAGAATTTTTGAAGTTACAATTATCCATCTTTTCTAGATAATTCTGCGGCACAATTGAAAAACTTCCAAGTAAATAATCGTGCTTTAGCTTTGGCTTTAGAAGAAGAAAGGAGTAAAATGAGGGAAGCACAAGATATCATACTGTGTTTAAAGAAAGAATATCAGAGCTTGAAGTTTCAGAATTTTGACCTACAAAAAAAGCTTAAGTTACAGCAAGAAAAACAACATGCTGAGGTATTTGTTTTAATATGGTTTCAGAAAATTATATATTAAATTATTAATTGCTACCATTTTAATTTATTTTTATGTTTAAAGAAGTTCATTGAACTTTACTATGAAATGCCTTTTATAGCTGTTTATTTTGTTTCAATTAGAATGGATTCGTGGTAGTGAAGAAGATTATTGCTAAAGTTGTTCAAGATCTACTCAGTGCAGCAAATATTCTTGATCCCTTAAATGATGTCTCTACTGCTGATTTTGTAAGTTTTTTATTCTACTTTTTGTATGCGTATTTGTAATTTATAGGCTTGATCTATTAGTTCAGGCTACTGGAAAAATATGTAATTCAAAATTCTTAACCTATTAGGATCTAAAAATTATCTCAAACATGAAATGTTTCAAGTATTCAAGACTGAATTACTTTGCTAAAACTCCAAATGGCCTATTCTGTCATCAGAATGTTGCAGAACCATTTTAGATAAGTTGCAATAACGAATTGTCTTGATATATATTTATATTTAATTGCTTAAATCCTTTTGGACTTCAAGTAGGATTCTATTTTCTTCTATAAAACCCCAAGCGTTCTCTTCCTATTTTTTTACGCCTACTTTTTTACAAAAATAAAGTGATAGCACTAAAAATGAGATTTTGATAATATAGGGTTTATTTTTAATATTATTGTTTGATACCACAACTAGTTAACAAGTTGAAAAACAAATTCCTAATGAAGGTGTATGATGAACAGAAACAGAAATTCAGTGTCCTTATCTGTAGACATTAATTCAATGTTAAAAACATGAGTCTTAATGTTTTGTAAGATTTGAATTACTCAGGGAGTTTCTATTTTTTTACAATGACCTACTATACTTTTAATTCCTCTTACTGACCTTTCACTGGTAGAATTCCTCTTACTGACCTTTCACAGTAAATTAATCTACAAACGGCTGTTGGAAACTCATGTTTATGCATATTTAAATATTGTATCTGACTCTGTTATGGATACCCAATAATGTTTTTCCAATATGTCTTTAATTTCTGTAGAATACAATTCAGTATAACTCTGAAGATGAGGAATGTGCTTCTGGAAGTTTAAAGAAGCATAATTCTTTGTAAGTATCCTTCAAAACAATTGGCTTTTAAAATCTGTTTTAAGAATGCATAAAGTGCTTCAATCAAGGCTAATTTAAACAGTGTACAAAGCCAATTGATACCAGTTAACACAGTGGATTCAATAGTAGCACCAACATAATATAAAAGTATAATAAAATTATAATTATATTACTACGCTGTCGCTCAAGTCCTGAAAACCTTTTTTAATGGCCAAATTGTTAACAACCTCCAAGAGAGTAAGAACAATTCTAGAAAGGGTAAGATTTGATGTATGAAAACAAGTACAAGCTGATCCAGAGAAAACGATCAGGACAATGGACACCTGCTTTGGGGTGGGGGTGGGGTTTTCCTTTCACAACTCTTAATAGTTGAGCACTTTCAACAGGCATTCTCTGTCCTTGGTGAGTAGAGTAAGCAGTATCAGAAATATCCAGGCCCTAACAAAATGTAAAAAATAAATTCTACAAAGCAAGTATATTTTGAAATAAACTTCAGGTGATTGGCTGTTTTCAATTTATTTAATATATTATAAGGAAAGATATGGATTTTGTATTAATAAAATGAGATTAGTAGTTTAAGTTTATTATTCTGGGGAAAATAAATCATTATATTATAATTATTTATATTAAAGCAAGTTTTAATTATTGCAGTCACTTAATGATAGGACACTTTATATCATGCATGTATTAAAAGTATATTTTTCATCATGTGCAATACAGTAGAAGATAGAATTGAGATGTTGTATCCTTAAGATGGGGGACAGGATTTTTTTAGGGGCTCTCTACTAACAGATACATTTTTTACCCAGCTTAATCAAGTTTGTTGAAGAACAAATGTAATAAGTAACAGGTTTATTGAGGTTTATGTAATAAGTACAATCTTGAAAGTATTCCCATAATTCAAAGATCAGAAGTCTTTTTTTTCTTTTAATTCTAATTAATTTTAATACTAATATGAATTGGGCATATTCTACTCTTATTTTCTAAATGTTACAAAAAATTCATCAGAGATTTTGAACCATGTGATTTTACAAGACTATATAATATTTGAAGTTTATATAGAGATTTTTTGTATTAAAATGCATGAAAGTATAAATTACATTTGATAATAACTGCTTTTATTTCACCTTTTTAAATACATGTTCCTGAAAGATATTACATTTGAAATATTCATTCAAATTTAATTTAAGAAGCAGTTTTAGAAAGTTGAAGTTTTAGAAATTTAATACATTTCCAGTATAACGAAGTGTTTTAACCTAGATATTTAGTCTATCTATCTTTCATAGGGCACTTCTAAGGCACATTCTTGCTGTAGAAGTAAGTAAAGAAGATACAGATGAAATACAAGATAAAGTGGAAAAACTTTATTATTCAGATTCTGACTTAAATTTCTGTGATGTCATTGACAATACATCTTCAGTGTCTCAGATAGATACAGGTGAGCTATCCCAAAACAAAGTGTATAAAAGCGAGGTGAAAGCTTAACTACTGCTTTATGCATATTGCAGATTAATCATTTGCCTGTTTACTTAGAAATTGTTCTTGAAACTTGAAAAGGATGTAATTTTTGAAACTTATATTTAAAGAAGTTTATTGTTATATGCGAATGGAGGAATAAAATATTCAGTAGCTACTGAATATTTGCTATTGAAAATAGCTACTAGGACTCCAGAAAAGTAAAATGATGTCAGTCCTAAGTAAGAAATGTATCTATTATATTTTCAGTATGAAGGGTTTATATACTAACAGCAAGCTCGGGATTTTTTAAATATAGTATTAAACTGTATTAAACAATACAGCATTAAACAAAATAACATTGATCAATTTTTCATCGGAAGAAAGTTGAAAGCAAATACATATAATTAATCTAGTGGACTCTTTGAATAATTGCAAAATGTTTTTGCTACGCCTAGTGATTGATTAATCCATAGCTCATGAGTTCATACATTCCAAAGTTTTGGTACATAGTTCAGAAATCACTATCACATCAAACTTTTCTTATAATTATCTGAATATTAAACTGAATATTAAACATAGCAAAACAAACTCATATAATAGATGTGTCCCCACAATCATTTTATTTTTCCAAAATAAAGAATTTGATAACTCATGTTCTCTGCAGTGTCCAGTAAATATTTAAATAGTAGTTGTTTGTGAAATTAAGTCTCAATTAATCTAAAAAATATGCTTAACATTCTTTAAGAACCTTGTTGGTTTGTCAGTATGGATTATTCCAACTCCTTTTTGCAATTATATCAATTTTTTAAAAAAATGAAGGTAGGTTGAAAATTTTTCAAATCGTATTTCTGGAGCATTGATAATTTACAGGTTTTGGGTGCTGCTAAAATATCTATTACGCAGTTCAAATTGTGAAGTCAGACTTCGATGTACTAGAATCCTGTATTTTTTAACATTTTGTTTATTTTGGTGCCTTCAGGTCAGTATTGACTCGTGGTGACTGCCTGGACTAGTCCCTGCAGTTTTCTTGACAAGATTTGCAGAAATGGTTTGACGTTCCCTGTTAAATAGGGTTGAAAGGGAGTGATGGATTTGTGCCTAAAACCGGGTTAAAACTCAATCTCCCATTTTTAGTCTGGTATCTTAACTACTGCAGTATATCTTCAACTTACAATAATTTTGTTCAACAACCATTTAGTTAGGTGGCATTGAATAGAAGGAGTTAACTGTAGTCCGGGAAGTTACAGCTGTTGTGCCATCTAGTCATGTGATCAAAATTTGGGTACTTGGCAGCTCACCCACACTTATGACTGCAGAGTTGCTTCATCTGCTTCATCTTTCCTCACTGAATATCTGTACCAATCTATGCCCTTTTGAGTCTCTGCTACTAGTTGATCTTTGCCATCTTCTCTCTGTTACTGACCAAGCATGCCCAGCCTGGCTCTTAAGGCTTTCTTCCCAAGACCACTGAAGTGTAGTTTCCTTGTTAGGTTTGGGGAAGATGATCTCATATGACCAGCAGCCGTTTCACCGAAGAGCTAGAATATGCATATCTCATCAGTAGTGAAAGCAAAAAGACAACAAAAATCAGATGGCTAGGATGACTGGCTGGGACTTTTCATATGTACACTAGTTTGCTAGAGTCTATTGGGAAGCAACATTTTGAGTATTACTAATTATTAAAGCTTGAAAAGCTCCAGTCAAAGATAATAAAAAATGCTCCGTCATGATGAATCTGTCTGGGTATTGAGATCAGGATGGCAGGCTATTTTGAAGAGTCCCCATTAGAAACCTGTCTTTCTAGCAGATAAATATTGCTTCCTGGGCTACATCCAGGTTATGGAAGGCACTTGTTTAGCAGTTTTTGGCCTAGTGTTTTGGTAACTGAATATTTTTTTTAAAAAAACTATCTCTTTTCCTACTCTTTAAATGGTGCCTTTAATTTATAATGTTCACTTTTTATAACATTCTATTAACTGTCTTGCTAATGCAAAATAGATGGTGAAAATTAAATAATTATTTAAATATAAGTAATCCATGCATCATTTGACTGGAAGAATTTCATAATGACTATAGAATTTCATTATGATTTGCATCTAATAAATTTTATTAATTATATTTACTGTTTCCAAAATAGTAGAACTTGTTACTTATTATGGAAAATACGATTTATAAATTTATACATCTGCTTAACCTTCTATAGAAAATAAGTTATTTCTCTTTAAATATAGTTTTGCTGATCACTGATGCATACCTTAAATTCTAGGTTACCAGAATTATTCCTGTGAAGATCATCCATATCATGTAAACTCTGGGAGCAGAATTATTTCAGTTGAAGACAGGCAAACTGATTATTCTGTACCTAAAAATGTTTCTACCCGTCGTCGTTATTTAAAAATTAATTCCCTCCATGAAGTCCTTGAATTACAAGATGGCATTCCAGATATCAATGTTGATCTTTCCTGTTCAAAGAATAATGAAAATTCTGAAGAAATATCTATTAGTCAGGAGGACAAGCATAGTGTAAACATTGATAAAAGTGAATCAGATATGCAAATTGAATCTGATAAAAGTGGATCAGATACACAAATTGAAAAGGCCATAGCTTTTTCAGAACAAAGTAATTTTAATAATACTGGTGGCTTTAAAAGTCAGAAAGGGAAGGGTCAGAAGAGAAAGTTGGTAACCACAAAAAATGTGTCCAAGGTAAGATCCAACAAAGACAAAAACTGCAATAAGCATGCAGGACCTAAACAAAAAGCAAATACACCCATTCATTCCAATGATGCTTATGATTTTATTAGTGAAGAGTCTGTTCATATAACACCTTTCCGGCAAAACAAACAAAATGAACATGTTGATGACAAAGATTATACAGAAGGAGAAATCTGCAGTGGTGAATCTTCTGTTTCAGAAGAAGATCCTGATGATAGTCTCTATGTGCCTTATTCAAAAAAATCAAAATCCAATGAAACTTTAAATACTGGAACAGATGTAATCCCACTACGCACAAAGTCACGATCAAAGAAAACTGTGTCTGAGCAACATGATATAAATCCTAAAGGGAAAAACAGGAATACCAAGACACTTGAATCTCATTTGGGTAAGAAAATTCTTGTTTTTTATGTGTATTATTATATAAATGTATTACTTTAGAACATGGTTCTCAATCTCCAGTACTGGAATCAAAAATAGTACATAGTTGCAGATTCTAAAGTGTGTGCATTATTTCAAAAGATTTTTTAAAAATAAATATGCACAAGTCCATTGCAATATAAGCTTTAAAATTGGCCATATTTTGAAGGTAGTCAACAAAGCATTAAATGAACATGCTGTAGTGGTCATAATTTCAGAACAACTAAATATTGTTTATATTGAGTAATATATTCAAATGTTAAAGCTGAGTGAATTTCCTTCAGATTAGTGTTGCCTGAAATGGGGGTGGTGGTAGAGGAATAATAATGGTAACTATTGGGGGAAAAGTGATGGTACTTTCTTTAAACAGATGAATCATCTGAGGCACTTCAAAAACATCATCTCAATGATATTACCAATGTTGCATCAACTTCTTACCAAACAAGAATTTCTCACCTAGACTTCAGTACTGCAGCAAAAGATGCTACTCATCAAAGACGTAGAAGTACAAGTTATGTGAGTTACAAGGAGCCAAGTCTCAGTGGGTTAGTATCTTTGTTTCTGGATTCTCTTAAAAGTAAGTTATATAGTCTTACAGTTTTTCCTGCTGTAAGAACTATATTAATTTCACATTTTTGTTATAATTTGAATTGTTTCAGTTTACCAAAAAAATTCTGATTTGTTTTGATAGGAAACTCAGAAGAGGAGACCCATTTACAGATACCAGCTTTCTGAACTCTCCCATTTTTAAAGAGAGAAAGAACACCAAATCGAAATCGCTTAATAAAAAGTTGCTGTCCAGATATAACGAAGCATTTGTTGGCTATTAAGATACTTTTCATGGAGTATACTTAGCTTCTCATTTATATTATGCTGAAAGTTTATGAACTAAAATTGTGGAGATGGAGCTTATGCATGTTTCTGATCTAGGCTTATGAATACTTTGCTAATATTTTATCATACATACACTGCCTTCCAGAATTTATCTATTCAGAAAGATATGAATAACCTATTTTAATAGGAGCTACATCCTGAACATGATAGAAAATAGGTTGAAATGCAGATCATCATTTATTTGCTTAAAAATGCAGTTCATTTTAACAGTCTGTCATTAGAAATAAAGTTAAACCGTGTTGTATTTTCTGAATTATTACTTGCTTAATGGCATTTATAATAAAATTTTGAATAATTTTTATTAAAGGTGATTTGGTTTAATTATCACTAGCATGTTTTCAGCCTCCGTTTTCTTGCAACTATTCTAACAGTTTGTAAAAAAATAAGCTGAATATGTTATCTTGTAGGTTTATTAGGAATAAACACCAGTGAACTCTCTAGTTCTGAATAAATGAGTTGGCTTATATTTCAGCTATCCAACTTCCACAATGTCAAGTAGTCTTTTGTGATGTGATGTATCTCAAGTTATATGCTAGTATTTTTATTAGCAGTTTTTTTCAAAACAGCTATTAGTCTTCTGATAGCACTTACAGCAAAGAGAAAGATAAGCAGAAACCTATATGTATTTACTTTTAGTACAAGAATTTTAACAAATACTAAATTGCCTTTTTTTTTGTCTTTTGTGTCTTTAGATTGTAAGCCTATGATATCAGTGGTTTAACTAGTTTTTCTAAGTAGATACCTTTTAAGGAGAATGTAAAACTCATAACATGTTTTGATTTCACTTGAAATCTTATATTAATGTCTGTATGAAAACGAAATTCCATTGAATTTGGTACTGCACAGTGCTTATTATCTGAAGGTGTTATAGCATATATTCTATTTCATAAAATGAAAGGTACTCTACAAACAATGAGTATGTCTGGTATTTTTATATGCAAATTACAAAATAGCACACAAGATCAAAGTTTTACATATAATTTAAACCCATTTTATACCAGTACAATAAATAATTTTACAAATGTAAAATTTCAGTTAAAGTATTTAAACACATACTGTGTATAACTTTATTGCACAATATCTATGAAAATAATCTTTAAATTAGAAACCAAAATGTCCTCAATATAGAAGAGACTCTAATTTCAAGACAATAAGAATCTTTGAAAATAACACTTTCACAGGATATCAAGCTTTAGAGGTGACTCTGTTGGCCCAGTTTACAAAATACATGAAAATTACATCATTGTACCTTAAATACAAAGCTCATTCTGGTTTATATAAAGCGCTAAGGCATTTCTATATTACTATTTTGTCTATTTTGTACCATTTCCTTCTAGCAATGTTCATCTAATCAGAATAAAACATTACAGGCATTGTGCCAAAAAACCCTCCTTTGTAATGTCATTTTTTACTTTCTACAACAGTTTACTAGTGAAATATTTCAGCATGAACAGAGTCTGTGTGTACATGAGCGTGTACACACATACATACATAAATATACTAGGGGTATCTTACTTTCCCCTCCAGTGTTGAGATACACTGTAGAACTGAGTGGTTAATGAGTATGGCTTCCCTAATAACTAATGATATCAAATGAAGTTTATTTCTTGTGTATAATGTAACAAAATAGCTCAAATATATATGGAATTAATACTAAAATTCAAGTTCCTAATTTTAAAAAACTAGTATTAATCCAAATAAAAGTTAACAGTGGGATAACAATCTACTCAAATCTGCTTTTATAAAATTGTTTTATCTATGGTAAGATGCAAACCAAATTGTATACAAGCTGGCATTGGGCTGGATGCAGTCAAATTCTGAGCTAATCACTAAAATCTATCAATCTTGTTAGTGTCTTCAGATTTCAGTATATTTTCCATCACTACAATGCAAACAGTTATGAAAAAACTGCATATCAGCCTTTATTATATAGTTAAATGAGAGAGACTCATCTGCACTAAAACTAGATATGGTTTCTTATAAATTAGGTATTACTGATCCCATTGTGCAGTTAAGTACACATTCTTCAGGGATGTATGCTTTAGGTGTATATTTATCAACATACTGTATTCAGGGCTACAGTCTATATGAGAATTCAAATTTTTGTCCATTCCACCCATTCATTGTGTTATATTTTTGCGAAATGGCTTCCATGCATCAAGAACCATACAAATTTAAAGAAAGCTATTGCTAAATTGGTTCCCATAGTAGAAATAGTACTTTTCTAAATCTATTAAAAGACTAAACAACAGTTGGGAGCTTAAGTCTGATGTTCTTTTCAGAACTTGACCTAAGTGAAAATGATGCTTCATTTTCCTTGAAATGCAAATATTAGGAACCAAGGTCCAATCTGGGCCAGTCATCGGGGCAGAGACTTAATCTTCTGAGGTTTCAACTTGTGCTAGACCCCATCCTTGGAAACCCATCCTCAGCTCTAAGGATGGCTCCAGCACGAGTCTAAAAGGTTGGAAGACAACCTCTGATCCCACTGACTAACCCAGATTGGATCCTGCAACATCCTGGGTCATGTATATTTGCTTTCATTCTAAGAATCAAATTCACAGAAGGAATTCCACCTAATTCCACCTAATAAGGGAATTCCTTTCCTATAGCTTAAGCACCTTCTCTTAGTGAATGTTTTATGTGTATGTGTGTATGAACTGTATGTATTGGTATATATTATATATAATTCATAATATATATAATTCACTTCCCCTTCATTAACATCTTTGCTGTAAAAATAATCCATTTTTCAATCTGATACATTAAGCTTAAACATTCACTGCTTGGAAATTTACCCTTTCCAAATCTCCAAACAGTTTGTGCAATACATCTAATAAAAATTGAATACACCGCAAAAGGGCATGCAAGTGTACATTTAAAAATACTTTAATAAAATAAACTCTTCTATATTACATGTTTAAAAGTGCTAGTTAAGAAAGTTTTATTTTATAAACAAGTTTCAAATCTAGTGAAAGAACTGCATATTTTGCTATTACATTAGGCATCTTAATTGTATGAGAAGAAAATTATTTGTCAATTAATCCAGCTTCTTTAATTTTTGTGTAGAAAAATTTCTCCAGTATATTGGCACATTTGTAATATTCACTTTCCGGTGGGTTGTATTCTCTGCAGTTAGTAAACACTCGTTGCATATCTGCCATGAATAATTTTTTAGATACGTAGTATCTGTTCTTCAATCGTTCACTCATAGTTTTCAGATCTGTATAAGAACAAACATCTTATTACTAGAATATCTGGTTCTGTGTTTTCCCCCTTTAGTGAAAAAATGGCTCTTCACTGAACTTCAGTTATTTCAGTGCTACATAAAATCAGTTTATATATATAATCACATATAATCACATTGCCTCCTTTTTGCAGCTAAACCATAATTCTTTATAAATTATAATGAATCTACCATCCAGTTGCAGAAAATGAATGTGGACAGGTATTCTACTGTTTTTAGGAGTGGGATGAGTAAAAATAATTTTACTGTAGAGGAGAATGCTGCCTTTTAAAGTACATAATTATTGTTTGGATAGAAGCAACTTTCTTTAAGCGGAAAGCTTTCCTTACAATCTATTTCTGAACAAACTGATTGCTGATGACACAGGTGAACCCAAATACTAAAATTCCTTGCATGAGCTACCACAAGAAGCTTTAAGATCATGTTCCTATGTATTTGCTTTTTTTAATCAAGGTATCACTAAACTTACACTGAAAAAAAGTTTCTGATGTTTGTGCAAAATTGATGGAACAAAGCACACTTTTACACTTCCATATTTTAAAATTTATTTTCACTTTCTGTAAAGGCCTTTTTAAAATACTAATGGCATTACCCATAGGAAATCTTATAACTTCATAATATCCAGGAGCCTCTGTTCTCTTCACTGGTTCCATGAAAGGCCAAGCACTTTGGTGGCTCTAGAGAAAAAAAGTATTACTGATCAATGTTTTATATCAGAAAATGTTTCATGATATTTACAAAAACAAAACATACCTTGACCTGTTGCAGAATGTTTTTTAGCGTGCTGTAAAGTTGATCCAGATCTTTGGGTTCTTTACTTAAAACAAAATACAGACAAGATTAAAATGTATGGTCTTTACTGTTATTTTAACTAGCCAACAACCCACCAATGAATGATAAAACTATTAATCACAAAACTCTATATTCTGCTGTTAAAAATACAGATTCAATTATTTTTAAGGAATGTATTAACAGTCAATTTGAAAAGAGTTTAATTTATTTTACTCAACAATGCTTACCTCTTCTCTTTATTATTTGGTTTCCAGCCAGTCTCTCCTATGCAACAAGCAAAATTAAAGCAAAAGGCAAATAAAAAATGGTAAGTTACAATGTATGGCAAGCGTCTTCAAACTTGGCAAGTTTAAGACTTATGGAGCAGGAATCCTGGGAGTTGAAGTCCACAAATCTTAAAGTGTCAAGTTTGAAGACTCCTGATGTATGGTCTTAAATCCATATACTCTGCTTCAGAGGATAAGCCAATATTCAGACATATCTGAATATCTTAAGGAACAAATTCCCAACAATAATTACCTACATACAAATCAGTCAAGAAACCATCAGAACTCTACCAGTTTTTATTTTTAATTCCCAAATACTATAAAAATAATGGTAATTTAATTAATACTGGCTAATAACAAGAAAATAAAGAATCCTGCCATGATACACAATTAAAGTGCATAATTGTCAGTAAAATTTTATAAATAACTTAAAAAGTGTATCATTTCTGGAGAAGAGAATCCAGTAGTTTAAAATTAAATTAAACCAATGTTTGCAGAAAAGGGTAGAAATCATTAAACATGACCTTTTTTAACAGCTAAGAGCATGGGTACATACTAATTCCAGGAATACTTTCTATGGGAATCTGTCGTACTCCATCTTTGAAACAAGAAAGGCCAGGATAAACTTTCTGAATCTGTGCTTGCTTCCTTTCAATTAATTTTTTAATGATCTGGAATAAAGACAGGACAAAAATAGAAGTATAAAAAGCAATATTATTTTAAATGTGATTAATCTTTTAACAGGCTCGTTCATATTCATAAGTGAATGTTCAGTAAAAAATGAATATTTACAGGGGAATGAAGATATGGATCTGAAATATATAAATTAAGATATTGATGTTTGTAAGCCA